GCCCTACTGAGACCAGCCCCACCCTTACTGGAGCCTATTTTATATTCCTGCTGCTTGCCTTAGGTCAACAGTAGCAGTCAGGAGAAGAGGCAAAGGAGCTTCAAGATCTGGCTGACAAAACAGAGACAAGAAGGGTCTTGTTCATTCTTGCAAAATCTTTTGTTTCAGAGGTGGTTTGCAGCAGCAGTAAGGCTGTGTTCAGCAGCTGCCATAGGGTGGTCCAGGAGGAGCAGATGATGCAGGAGATCTGCACAGGAGGACAGTTTGTCACCGCAGCATTTCTCCCTGGGTGCAGCAGTTCCTGTCAGCAGGAGAAAAAACAATCACTGATTTCAGTCAAGTGTTTTGTCTGCAGCGTTTCTGTCTTTGTCCTGCATTGCTTTATGCAAGGGTGAGACACTGACTATTGGTGACTCAGGCTTTTGCTGAAGGATGTGTTTTAAAGTTAGAAACATGGCTGTTACAAAACAACGAGAGTGCACAAATTCACCCCTGGAAGAGTGAAAACAACAAATTGCAATGCACAGGCTTCAGTGTCAGAGAATATTTTTCTCTGGAAGGGATTTAGTTATTTTCTTACCCCATGAAACAAGTGCCATCTCTCAGAAAAGACTTCCTGTGAGGATTTTGATCCTTTGGGAAGGAGGATGAGTTAGCGGCTAGAGATGAAATGCAAAGGTGTTTTCAGCATAGCAGCTGGCTGCTAGGTTTTCTAATACAGTACATTACATTGTTAATGGAAATGTTGCTTTGTACCTTCTGTTTTTCTCCCAGTAGAATTAATTCCAGCACTGTTTGCATGCCAAGCATGCACACTCACAGCTACGAGCTCTGGGGAGAGGCACAGCTTGGACCTGCACTGATAAGATCACAAAGATTCTGCAACAGGGCTGGAGCTGAACCCGCTGCCTTTGCCAAGTGACTTCACCACGAGACCACCTCTGCTCCTGCCCACAGGAGCCATCACACACCACTACAGACAGGCCTTGGGAGTCAGTGGATTGGGGCAAAGGCATCTGGCTGTTTGGAGGTCCTTTGGGAGAGCTGCAGGAACAGGAGTCTTCTGTCCCACTCTGTGATGCAGCAAAGAGGGAAAAAACCCCCACCACTTCCCACAGAGCAGCTAACCCTTCCCAGTTTGCTAATCCAATATGCACTCCTGCTTCTGCCAGGAATCAATCTGTTTCAAGGCTGCACGTGTCCTTTTATTAAGAAATAAGAGAGAGCAGGGACGAGCAGCTTTAAAAGCATCAAGCCATGCAGGGGCTGGGAGGCACAGGCTGCCAAGTCCTTGGGAACACTCAGAGATGAAAGTACCACAGGAGTGCCACATGGCAGTGCTGCTGGTATAGGTACTGTGCTGCTAAAGCAGCTCTCTACATGCTGGTTATGAAGAGACACAAATCATGGAGCTGGAGACAGTGAGCTCACTAAATCCAATGGTCACAAAATAGGAAGAAAAGGGAGTATATTTTTCCATGCTATAGGAGCCACTGACCCAAGCTGAAAGCCCTGGGAGAAAAAGCAGCAGGGCATGTTAAGTACTTCCCTGGGAGCTGGCTGTGAATGAAGCAGCTTGGTTTTCACTTGGATTTTCAGACACGTTTGTGAAGAAAATGGGAGTGCAAAAGCTGGAGAGTTTTCTGAGATGAATATAGGCTTATACTTGAGAGAGGGAAATGCACCTAATGCTGTGTGTTATGGTGGGGGTGCTCAAGGTACACAAAACTGCAGAAACATCCAACTTGTATTTCATCCTGCTGAAAGCAAGTCACAACTCATAATTAGCTGTTCAGACCAAAAGGAAAAAGAGTGAAATTTTAGGATGTGAAGAAGAGCTTGTGCTCTATTACTGCAGAGCCAAAGCACAGTATCTTAAATAAAGTCAGCAGTATTATTTTGTGTATGCTTAGGAGGAAATTGTAATCCCTCATCCAACATTACCTGAGTCTGCAGTTAGCACAGAGTGAATCAGGCCATAACTATATATGCACAGCAACTTACTGGGTCCCAATCAGCATAGCTATCACTGTTTTGTAGACTAGAAGAAGAAAACACAACAGTAAACTTGTTTACTGGCTACTTTGTTTCCAGAAAGACAACTTGCCTTGTCTTTACATCACTGGAGACCAAAGTTCTTAAAACCGACAAGATAAAAACCTCCTAAAGTCAAAGCCTAAGAATCACTAAGGTTGCAAAATAACTCTAAGATCATCAGGTCCAGTGATTATCCCAGTGCTGCCAAGTCCATCACTAGACAGTGTCCCCATATGCCACATCTTTTGAATATCTATGGAGAAAGTTCACTACTTCCTGGAGCAGCCTGTTCCCATGCTGGATAATCCTTTTGGTGAAAAAATTTTTCTTAATATCCAATCTAAACCTCCCCTGGCACAACCTGAAGCCATTTTCCCTTGTCCAGTCACTTGCTGTATGGGACCAGAGACCACATCTGGCTACAACCTCCTTTCACACAGTTATTGAGAGCAATAAGGTCTCCCCTGAGCCCCCTTTTCTCCAGGCTAAACAATCCCAGCTGCTCCTCACAGGACTTGTGCTCCAGACCCTTCCCCAGCCCTGTTGCCCTTCTCTGGGCACTTTGCAGCACCTCAATGTCCTTTTTGTACAGAGGGCCCCAGAACTGGGCACAGCACTCAAGGTGTGGCCTCACCAGTGCCGAGTACAGGAGGACAATCCCTGCCCTGCTCCTGCTGGCCCCACCATTGCTGATCCAGGCCAGGATGCCATTGGCCTTCTCGGCCACCTGGGCACAGCTGGCCAAAAGCAGTGCAAGGTCAAACCCCTGTTTTCTTTGCCTGGTGTTCACCAAGCAGAGGGTGAATCCTGAACCTGTCAGTAGTGTCTGTCAAGGTGGTGAGTCACCTCTCGAGAATCCTGGAGGTTACCTGGCCGCTTGTCCAGTCAGCTCAGCCTTGGTTAAAGAATCAAAGGGACAATTTGAAGCTGAAAGCAAGTAACTGTGGGATTTTGCAAATACCAGTCTGCCTGCAACATATCTCTTGTGTAACATGGAATACTGTTCAAATGTAGGGATTTTTCATTCAGTTCAAAAATTAATGTTCAAATATAGCTATAGCAAAGCTCTCTGTAGCACCAACAGTGTAAATTAATTGCCATCCTTCCTCATGAGGGGAGGTGGAAGAATGGTACTGATCTCTTCTCTCTGGTGAACAGTGACAGGACCTCAGGGAATGGCCTAAAGTTGACCATTGGGAGGTTTAGGTTCGATATCAGGAAAAGGTTCTTCTCCCAGAGGGTGGGTGGGCACTGGAACAGGCTCCCCAGGGCAGTGGTCACAGCACCCAGCCTGACAGAGTTCAAGAAGTGTTTGGACAGTGCCCTCAGGCACAGGGTGTGACTCTTGGGGATAAATCTGTGCAGGGCTAAGTTGGACTCGATCCTTGTGGGTCACTTCCAACACAAAATATTCTGTGATTCCATGATCCTGTAATTTTAAGAGACTATTTTCAGCAGTTTGACATATATTAACTACACTTTCTAAAACATAGAAATACTGTTCAAAAGGGCAGTAAACACCCCCACAGCAATGGCACCCCCTTGTCCCAGCAGACTCAAAGAGGTCAACATTCCTAACCTGTGACTCATCCTGAAGGCCATTTTAATTGCAGGGGACAGGAAAAATTTACCTGCTGGGACTGCTGTTATTGTGAGAACAAAACCTGTCCCTGACATGCCCTGAGCCACAGCAGGTGAGGCCAGGTAAGGCCAAGACAGGCAGGAGAAGTGGATACCTGGAAATCTCATGAGTTTTAACAAGACCAAGTGCAAGGTGCTGCACCTGGGTCAGAACAACTCCGGTATCAACACAGGATGGGGAATAAACAGATCGAGAGCAGCTCTGACCAGGAGGACTTGGGGGTGCTGCTGGGTGAGAGGCTGGACATGCTCTGGCCACAGGCACTCACAGCCCAGAAAGCCAAACATGTCCTGGGATGCATCCAAGGGACAAGGGAGGGAATTCTGCCCCTGTGCTCTGTGAGACCCCGCCTGGACACCACAACCAGCTTTGGGGCCCCCAGCACAGGAAGGACATGGATCTGTTGGAGCGAGTCCAGAGGAGGCCAACAAGATATCACAGGGATGGAGCACCTCTCCCACGAGGAAAGGCTGAGAGAATTGGGTTTGTTCAGCCTGGGAAAGAAAAGGCTTTGAGGTGACCTAAGTGTAGTCTTCCAGCACCTGGAAGGGAGCTCACAGTAAAGATGGGGAAAGGTTATTTACAAGAGAATGCAGCGACAGGAGGAGGGGTATCTCAGACACATTTTATGAAAAATCCTTTCCTTAGGATTTTTTTCTCCTGAGAAGCTGAGAGGCCTCAGGAACAAAATGTAAACAATGGTTATCTGCTGCTGTGGAATGCAACAGGTGCATCTGTGATTGGTCTCATGTGGTTGTTTCTAATTAATGGCCAATCACAGTCCAGCTGTCTGGACTGTCTCAGTCAGGCACAAGCCTTTGTTATCATTCCATTATTTTTCTATTCTTAGCTAGCCTTCTGATGAAATCCTTTCTTCTATTCTTTTAGTATAGTTTTAATATAATATATATCATAAAATAATAAATCAAGCCTTCTGAAACATGAAGTCAGATCCTCATCTCTTCCCTCATCCTAAGACCCCCGTGAACACCGTCAGAGAGGTGGAATGGGCTCAAATCGAAAGAGTAGATTTAAGTTAGATATTACAAAAAAAAAATCCTCTACCCTGAGTATGGTAAGGTACTGGCACAGGCTCCCCAGAGAAACTGTGGATGCTCCATCCATTGGAGGATTCAAGGCCAGGCTGGATGGGGCTTTGATAAACCTGTTTTAGTGGAAGCTGTCCCTGCCAACAGCAGCGGTGTTGGAAGCGGATGAGTTTTACCGTTCCTGCAGCCCAAGCCATTCCGTGCTCCGGCTCTGTGAGGGGAGGCGGCCGCTCCGCAGCGGGCGGGGCGGGGCGGGGCAGGGCCGGCACCGCCCCCACGGCCGGCAGGGCCGGCTCTCCAAGATGGCGTGGGCACCGCCTCCGTCGGCGGCCCAACTGTACAGGCCGAACCGCTTCGTCTCGCTGCCCGCCGAGCTCGACCCCGCCACCTACGACACATCGCCGGAGAAGCTCCGCGCCGAGGCCGAGCGCCTGGCGATTCGGTCCCGGCTCAAGCGGCAGTACCTGCTGCAGCTCAACGACCCCAACGCGCCCGCCGTCATCGTGAGTGGGGACGGAGGGGCCGAGGGGCGGCGGGGGAAGCGCGGGGCTCGCCCGCCTCACCCGGCGGTGTCCCGGAGCGGGGCCCGCTCCTGCGGCCGTGCTGGGCCCGGGGCCGGGGCGGCGGGACGCTGCCCGCCCTCCCCGTGACCTTGGTGCCCTTCCCGGTGTGCCTCGGCCTCAGTCCCCGCGTGGAGGGGCCAGTGCGGAGCCCCGCGGCCTCACCGCTGTTGTCTTTGCACCCCAGGAAAATCCCGCCTTGATCCGCTGGGCCTATGCGAAGTCGCAGAACGTCTACCCGACTTTCCGGCCGACACCCAAGACGTCCTTTCTAGGAGCTGTTTATGGCTTAGGCCCCCTCCTCTTCTGGATCTTTGTCTTAAAAGCTGACAGGGTAAGTCGGCCGAGAACGCTGAACGTCAGCGAACACCACAAACACCAGCTTGTAAAATGTACATCTGCTTGGAGTCTCAGTCTGTGGGACCCTCATGCACCTAAGAATGATTGATACCATTGAGGTAGTGAGGGAAGGAAGGCTGTAGTGAGCCTGCTGTCTTAGAGCCTGTTACTGATTGCAGAGTCTTGCTTTTTTGAGAGCCCTTTATTGTACCCTTGGGGCTATGGCCAGTCACAGGTTGCCCGATCAGGCTATTTTGCAGTCACAAAGCTCTCTGTAGCACTCAGTGAAAATTAATCCTAAGTTACTCTTATTTTCAGCAGTTGACATGCATTAACCATGCTTTTTGAACAAAATATGCAGAAGCTTAGGATGGCAGACCTAGCAATATCTCTGTGCAGTTGCTTGACCATTTCTCTAATTTAGTGAAGCAAATGGGGAGGAGTAGTTGTGCCAATTGCAGTGTATGATCTCAGCTGGACACTCTAATAATTTGGAAGGTTTATCTTGCTTCCATTCTAACTCCTAAACAATGAGTGTCAGAATCTAAGGAATGGTAGATCATTATGAAAAAACTCAGCTAGATACATACATAAAAAATGCTAACAGGCAGACAGGGGCTGTTTTTAGTAGAGAATTTGTGGCTATTGTAAACCACTTTTATTTCCCTCTTTTGCACAGAAGTAGCAATTTAGATCAAATCATAAACCACGAAGCGCTAACATAAATTAACAGAATATTTGTAGGGAATGTTGTTTGCCTGAGTGAATTGGAAATTCAGGTTTTAGGGAGCGTCTTGATATAAATGTTCTTGAGACTTCAGTACTTCTGCAGTATTTTGCCATGCTGAAGTCCAGGATAATTCCCTTTCCTTTACTGTGGTTCCTTTAGTGAAGTTTGGGGATTCTTCTTGTTTTCCTGGTAGTACATAAGGCATGGTAGTCATAGTCTTTTCTCTGAGGAATGTTTGCTGTGAGTCTGGAAAAGCAAGAGATAAATCACCAGGTTTTAAGTAAATCTGGTTTTATCCAGCAACAGGAATCTGGCCATTATCCACGGTGCCTGTGTACTGTAATGGTACCTGTCAGAAAGGTACATGACTGCAGAGGGGGGTACAAATGGGTAGGAAGTGAGCACAGGCGCTTTTAGGCAAGTTATTAAGAACTTTCTCCGTAATTAGTTCTCTAAGCTGGATTATTCAGCCAGAAGGAGGAGATAGAAACTAAGGTACAAATGATGAGACACAACTGGTTTGGTGAAAAATGCCTTACAGGAATTGGTCTCTGCTGGCCTGTGAGAGTACCTAGACGTGAGGTCAATCTGAGCAGGTCTTTAGTAGGTGGAGCTAAATGCCTTGTTGTCTTTTACTTTTAAACAGCTTGTGCCCAAAGAATCCTTTAGGGTGGAAAACACCCTTAAAATCCTATATGGTGCTGCCTTCATGTAGTCTGTGCTGAAATACTAGAACTGCTGTTCTGTTATCCCAGGCTTATTGGAAGTCCTTCTCTGGTAGGATGATGATAAATGTTCTCTCTCTTCCACAGGATCGTAAAGAGAAGCGTATCCAGGAAGGTAAACTCAAGCGATCGCCGCTCAGTGTGTTCTTCTAAGTCCCTGGAATTGCAGTGATGTTCTTGGGATAGAAATAAAATAAGATGCACTATGTGATGACATTTCTCTGTCACAAGAATAAATCTTAATTGCTTGTTGGTTGTCTTGCATCTTTAAAAATCATGGGAAGTGCAAAAATGTCAGATCTTTATTTCTAAACCAGATGGATACAGAGAGGGTGTCTGGAACTCAGCCACTGTACTCTTTTGATGTACATACAGAGGATCTTTTTAAACCATGAAAGTTCTGTTGTCCAGGAAGGTTGAAGTTTAAAATTAGTAGCAGGCTAAAATGCTAAGCAAGACCAAAGCAGTTTCCTAAAGGAACTACTGCCTGCCTTCCAGATGTTTCTTCTTGGTGTCACTTTGGCTGTGTGGTTTGCCCTTACTGGATAGTGGGCGAGTTGTGTGATACAACAATTTTTAAGAACATAGGAGTTTGCCTGATTGCTCTCAATAAGTTGAGTTAATTTTTCTTTTCCCTAATAAACTACAAACCTAAACCATGTGTTTGTTTATTGCAATAAACTTCTATTTTTTTTATTAGTACCAGATTTGAAAATAGTGAGCTCAATGTTGTCATGCTGTATGTAACCAGAATTTCCACTAATTCTGTGGTTCCTGTGAATGGGAGACAAGAAGTGTAAGATAAGGACTTTTACTTTGACACTGGCTATCTTGTAGTACAGGAGAGTACTATAAGACAGTACTCCTGTACTAGAACAGGAGAGTACTAGTCCCCTGTAAGAGGGCTATGTTTCCAAAAAAAAAATCCACCACCAAGCATAACTGAATCTTATGCCTGCAAAGATGCCTTTTCTGTTTATTCTTATAAGAGCAAAAGCTTTTCCTGCCCAGATCAACTGGTGTAGAGGACTCTGGAATTGTTACTGCCAATGTACTGAGATAAGAGTGCAAAGAAAAGATTTTTGATGCATACTTGAATTTTTACATGGCCTGTAGGTGCCTTCATGTTCCAAACAACCCTCATTGTTCAGGGACTAGTTTCTTCCCAGGCACTGAGGTTCATACCAGAAGCTCAGTCTGATACAAAAGTTGAAAAATTCCCTTTGCCTGCTGGGAAAGCAGCTAATGTGAAGTCAGCAAAAACAGGTCTGCTGTATTCTTCCTTTCCCTGCACGATAAAGATGTAAATGTGGGCCATTGCAGTCACTCTCCAGCAGAGTGAGTTGATGAGCTTTTCCATATAATCACTAAGTAGCTGAGGTTGGAAGGGACCTCTGGAGGTCATCTGGGTCCTACCCTCTGCTCCAGTAGGGCCATCTAAAGTGGGTTGTCCAGGACCATGTACGTACAGGTGGCTTTTGACTATCTCTAGAGATGAAGACTCCATGACTTCCTGAGCAACCTGTGCCCATGCTCAGTCACCCTCACAATAAAATCACTCTCACTGTGTGGGTTCTTTTTGATATGGGTTTGTTGCTTGGGTTTTTTGTTTGTTTGTTTGTGGAGGGGGTTTGTTTTGTTGTGTTTTGGTTTTTTGTTTGGTTGGGATTTTTTGTTGTTTTTTTCTTTTTTTCTTTTTTGGTTTTGTTTTTTTTTTCTTTTTTTAATTAATTTTTTAAAAGTCTTTCCTATTGCAGCTCTTCTTGTGTGGGCCATGAAACATTCAGGCTGTGTGGAGCTTGGCACTGATGCTTTGTACAGAAACTGGACTAGTCAGTGCTAGGTTTTGGATTCCCATGTGTGCTCCCAGCAACCCTTTTGCATCAGTTTCTGCAGCTTGTTCTGCTAGTTTAACTAAAGCAAACCCGTATTATTCTCTGCAGAATAGCTCCTAAAAGACTGTCACAAATGATATTACAAGATAAGGCTGTGGACCAGTGCAGAGAGGCATCAGTGCATGGAGAGAGTGATATTTAGGGAAAGAAATAATTGCTTGTCTGAGCATGCTAAATTAGCTATTCTTGCTGCCACAAACTAATTTGATCTCCCAGGACCCATTTCCTCAGCTAATTGGAACTTGAGTTGCCACACATGTAAATTCTCCCTTGCAGCTGTATTTGTTTCAGGCCAGCTGAGCAAATGCTTCAGGCTGGGTTGTGGATGAGCACAGCGCCTCTGGTCTTTTAGAGCAGCATTGGATTGATGCTCGTGGCACCTGCTACAGCCCTTTCCTTTCCAGCCCTGAGTCTCTGATGCTACATCCCTGCAGATTTGACCATGGTGCTTGGGGAAAGGCTGCCCTACTTTTATCTCTTGTTATTTCCAGAACTCTCCAAGCTGTTTTCTTGCTAGGAATGAGCATGCTATGCTGCTGGAGATGGGGTTGATGTTTGGAGCAGTGGTGCTGGGTGCAGTGAGGAAGGAAAGAGAAGTTTCCCTTCAGATATCTAGGGTGGAGGTAGGAAAGTGAATGTGCCTTGTGGAATTTTACCCTTAACTGATGTGTTACTACACTATATATGCTTTGGTGATGTGTCTGTACGAGAGAAATTCAAGCCTGTAGGTCACTGGATGATAATTAAGATCCCAAACAGAAAACAAGCTCTTCCCGTCTGCCTGTGAAACATTTAGACCTTATTTATCCCTGGATCAGTCTGATTAAATCAGCTTCTCTGGCAAATTGATTCTCCCAAATGTCCTTTTCTGAATTGGCTATTTTAGAGTAAACGTCTCCATGTAGATTTTATAATACTTTGCTCAAAGCTGATGCCTTTTTTTTACCCCAAGGACCTGGTGCAGATCCAAAACTGATGATGGATGTAACTGACTGATAACTGTGTGTCACAGGTCTACATTTCCTTCTCTTTGGGAAAATTGCTTCTCTGGGGAAGTAAGAAACAAAAATCTGGGGCACCAAGTTTAGAAACTTCCACCTGGGTATGATGTGCTAAAGTACAGGCCTGAAGTGTGGGGTGCCTGGGCTGTGCTCCTGGTTCCCACTCTACTTGGGGCTTTGCTTGCTCCCTCCACCCTGTGGAATTCACCAGCTGGGGGTGAGGCTTGTGTACTCTAATCAATGTTGAGGTCTCCCATGGTGTCTGCAGTTTAGCTTTTTTCCAGGTGCCTTCCCAGGAACAAATGCTTGGACTAGCCAGAGAAGCCCTTTCACATTTGCTATGCTGTAGATTAGCACAGAACTAGGGAGAGAATTTGTCAAGTGCTGACAAACGAGTAGATACTGCAGGATGGCCAGTGTGGAATAGAAACTTTCCCTCACTTAGCAGTGAAGTGCTTTGGGTTCTCCAACCTTTATCATTTGTGGTCTACTTTTCTGACAATCAAGTCTTTCCTTAGCAGCCCTCCATGGATGAGCAGGTTGAAGTGGCTTGCTCTGATCGTGGGCTTACGCCTGCTAGAGCCTTCAGCTCTGTTTATAAAGCTCTTCCCATACAGACAGCATACAATGCTTTATCACTCCCTAGCTTCTCACACTGGGTTGTATTTTCAGGAGGCCCTGTGAATGGGAGCTAGCTGGCATCTCATGTCCACACAAGGTGCAGCTTTCACACCAGCTCCATGTGGTGAGAGCCACACAACTATTTCAGTTTCAACATGTCACCAGGAAAGCTTTAATTGGATACTTGAAAGTTAAGAGTAATGATGGATTTTACTGCATTTCCCATGTTACTTAGGGATGTAGGTTTTTGTGGCTCAGTGGCTGGTGGAAGTGCCGTTCTGTGCTGGAGCATTCTGCACTGCCCGAGTTGACTGTGCCATCACACGTAGGTATGCTGGATTTCCACGAGTGCCTTCACTCATGTTGCGTGCAGCAAGCGCTTCCCTTTACTTGCATTTAGGGTTGAAATGGCTTTTCAGAGGTTCCCAGCACTTGTAGTAGTTTTTATCTAGGCGATTTGAGGTCTGGAGGCCCCATTTCGTGACAGCAAGGCTGAGGGATGATTCAAACATGAAGGCCTGTTGGGAAGAGGAAAGGTAGGTTAGGGTAAAAGGAAAATTTTAAATCCAAGCAAGGTGTCTGCTCTACCACAAACAGGATTTGTATACATGGTCCAGTATTTCCAGGTTCTCTCTTCAGCCTGACCAACTTGGGGAGAATACTCTTCAGATCTGTCAATGCAATACTGGAATTAGTCTCAGGAGTGGCTTTGGACTCCCTGCCTGCCTAGGAAAGCCAGGTTGTTCCAAAAGCTCTAGTTCAAGGTCTGTTGATGATCATCATTAGATCTTAGGGGGTAGAGACAGGAGGACAATCAGGGTGTTTGCTTCTTTGCCTATAGGCTAAGGCAAAAATGAAATTCCCAGCTTCCTGCTCAGGCAGCAGTACACGTGGGTAGATGATCAAAGCTGCCTGGCACTGGATGTCTCCAGGGGAGGTCCTGGGAGCTGAGCAGAGCTCATTGGTAAGGGAGCTGAATGCTGCAGCAGTTGGGTCCAAGTACTTTTCCAGCTTGCCAGGAAGAAGTGACAGTACTAGGCTTTAGTTTAAAAGTGGGCACTATGCCATGCTCTACTCCAACTCTTATGAGCTCCCTTGGCTCCTTACCATGGTCCCGTCTGCGACCCGCTCTGGCTCCAGCTTGGCTTTGCTCGCCTTCTCAAAGCAGTCAGCATCTGGCCCATGAGGAGTCATCATGCTGTGCAAGCTGCCGCCTCCCGGCTGGAAACCTTCCTCCTTTGCTTCATAGTGGCCTTTGATGAGCCCCATGAACTCACTCATACAGTTCCCTGCAGGAGGCAAAGAGGAAAGGCTGCAAAGAACGGTGCTTGGGAGGGATCACAGACAGGCTGTGAGCTCCTTGAAACCCATGAGCTAAGCTGGGCCAAGCAGAGGGTGGAGTGGAAGTTTCTAGACAGGGTATCATGCTGGGGACATCAGGGATTCTACAGGCAATGCTTGTAAAGTTGTACAGGATTTTACTTCCTGAATTCAGAAACAGAGCTCCCTGATGAAGGATGTTCATTAGAAATTACCTTAATGAAGGGGCTTCCATCATCAATCCCTAAATGATGTTGGTAGACCTGTGCTTTTCCTGCCATCTTGAGCTGTGTTAGTAACACACCTGCATAAGGACTGCATGGCGTAACCTGATTTTGCGGACCGGGATGAGGGATTGTGAGGCATTGGAAAGGAAGTTCTGTATAATCATCCCTGTGTTACAGACACAATATAGCTGATCAACAGTCTTATGAGAGAGTTTGCTCTGCTGTCCCAGGTTATAAGCAGGAAATTATTTTGATAATCCTCTTCTACCACCTCTAGTACAGTCAGGCACTTCACTACCTTATGCTTTTAATTCATGCATTATCTGCCTATTTCTCTCCATCCACTGTATGCCAAAAGACAAGGAGCCAAATTCTGTCCTTCCCTGAGGAAGAATAACTTCCAGTAGACCCTCTGAAACCACTAGAGCAACATACCACTAACTTAGGCAAGGATGGTTATATCTAATTGTTCAGTACTTACTGAGTTATGCTCCCTGTAAGGAAACTATTTAACACCTGTCATCCAAGCTCTCAGCTTTCCTACACCTGATGTGACTAAACAATATGGCAACTTTCTGCTCAGCAGTTAGTTTTTGC